CATTTTTCTCTCTTTGTTTTTGATGCTTTTAGATGATTTCAACTCCCTTGTTTGAAGAAATTCTTTCTTACAATATTTAAGAATGGATCTGCTAATAAGAGATTCTTTGTTTTTCTTTGTCTGCACATGTCTTTATTTCTCCTGTATTCTCAGAGGATAGTTTGGTTGAAAAAAGTTTGAGCTTTCTTTTGACCTTTGAAAAATGGCCACATAATGTAGGGAAAATGTTGGCCTCCATGGTATCAGGTAAAAAATCCACTGTGACTCAAATTGGTGTTCTCCTGTAGGTAATGCATCATTTTTCTTTTGCTTCTTTCAATTTTTATTCTTTGTTTAGTATCCTGTTTAGGTTCACTCAGCTTCTTGTATCTACATATTAATTTCCTTCACCAAATTTAGAAAGCCATCAGCCATTCAATTTCTTTGAATATTGTTTCAGCCTCACTCTCTTTTCTCTCTTCTTGATATGATGATAACCCAGACATTACATCTTTTAGTCCCACAGGTGTCTGAGACCCTGTTCATTTTCCCCCCTCAGTCTCTTTTCTCTATGTTGCTGAAATTGTGTGCCCAACTGATCTGTCTTCAGATTCACTGATTTCTATCTTTTATCATCTACTTTACTATCAGGTACACGCAATGAGTTTTATATATATTACTGTAGTTTTTGCTTATGTAAATTTCTATTTTATTTTCTTTTACAGTTTCTATTTTTTTTTTTTTTGCTCAGATTTTTCTATTCATGTTTTTTAAGAGACTCTGACTCACTTTGAAGCATTTTTATGATGACTTCTTTGAAATCCTTGTCAGATAAATCCTAGCATCCGATTCATCTCAGTGTTGGCATCAATTGATTGTCCTTCCTTACCAAAGTTGTGATTGTCTTTGTTCTTGGTATAAGGAGCAATTTTCAATCACATCTTGGGCATTTGTCTATTATGTTGGAATTTGAGTCCTATTTAAATCTTTTATTTTGAGCAGGCAGTTGTATTGTTTAGATTTTAGCTCTATTCTGAGGCTGTGACTTCTTAGATGTATAAAAGTTCAGGATTTTTATATTTTCCTGGTGGCTTGCTTCTTTTTGGCTTTGTACATAAAATTTCATGCTGCCTCCCAATTTTATCTGATTCTGTCACAACAGTTTGTCTCATAGACCCATTGAATCTGTGTCTTTTTTTTCATCTTGAATATTATGTTCTATAGTATTTTATTTCACTTGTTGTTTAACAATTAGTATTTATTATAAATGTTATTACATCAAATGCTCACTTTATTTACCAGTTTTAGTTTTGTACATTTTATCTGGCCCTGTTTTCCCTCCCCCCCTTCTTCCTTTTGGGTTTAACTTTTATCTTACTGAAATATCTCCTTAGTGACTTTTCACTAGTGGTCTCTCCCAGTTTGTCTGTTTCCTTGAAAATATCCTTATCTTTTCCTTACTCTGGAATGTAAATTTAGTTCAAGATAGAATTCTACATTGAGAGTTATTTTTGCTGAGCCCTTTGAAGATATTAATTTTCTTTCCAGATAAATTTATTTTTTTATTTATTAGTGTAATTGTTTTCTGCAGATAATCTATAGTGTTCTTCTGGTTGAATTAATCAATTATTTTATCTCTATTTATTCATGGTGTATTGTTAATCATTTTCTAGCCCCAATGGTCCGTTTAAGTCTCTCAAAAATTACAGAAAAACATTTGTGCTATTTCAAAATAAAGACTCATGTGTTCTTTTAATATAGAAAACTCTCAGCAGTCAGCTCTCCTTCAAAATTCTCCCTTCAGAGCAAGTTGGATTTTGTGTATCCCAGAGTTTATGTAGCATTCCCAGAGCATTTTTAATGTAATTTGGAGGTGATGGGAGGTTCTTGACCACATGATGCAGTCTAATTTAAATTTCATGTTACCTAGAGTTTCATTTAGTCTTGGAACAATCCCCCTCCTCACCCCCCACCCCCACTCCCCCATCTAAGACCCCTACACAGCCAGTAGGAAGTTTTCCCAGTTCCTCTTTGAATGACAAAGCAGAGAATGAAGGTCTCTGGCTCAGTGTGGGACTTTCATTTCAGCTCCTTCACTTAGCATCATGTCTCCTGTGCATGGAAGCTGACATGCAGCCTCTGTCGCCATGCTAAATCCAGTTCCCAGGTCCTGTAGAGATCCAGGGCTTCAGTCCTCCTTACGTTTTGCCTTTATTTTCTCTTCTAATCATAGAAATGAAAGTATCTTAAACTTCCTTTCTCAGCTAACCTCCTAGCTCATGCTTGGAAGTGGTAACAATGAAATCTTGAAGCAGTCTGGCCTGTGATTTTGGGGCAGTGTTTCTGCTTAAGCGTTGTTCTCTGGCCCTTAATGATTGTTTGAGCTACATATTCCTTAATAAATTCTTGTACTAACAAACAAACAAACAGACAAACAAACAAAAAAAACTCACAAGGAGTCAGAACTTTATAGATCAGACAACACTAAATATAGGAGTGAGATCAATATCTTTGCCTCTGAAAGATACACTATATCAATTTTTAGCTGGCATTTTTTTCTTCTTCTTTTTTAAAATTTAAACCTAAGTTATTTAACATATTATGTAATAATGGTTTCAGAAGTAGAATTTAGTGATTCATCACTTACATATAACCCCCAGTGCTCATCCTCCTGACAGATGTCCTCCTTAATGCCCATCACCCATTTAGCCCATCCCCTCACCCCACACTCCTTCAGCAACCCTCAGTTTGTTCTCCGTATTTTATAGTCTGTTATGATTTGCCCCCTTCTTGTTTTTATCTTATTTTTTCTTTCCTCTCCCTATGTTTTCCCTATGTTGGTTTCTTAAATTCCACATATGAGTGAAATCATATAATACTTGTCTTTCTCTGACTGACTTATTTCACTTAAGCATAATTCACTCTAGTTCCATCAACATTGTTGCAAATGGCAAGATTTTATTCTTTTTGAACACTGAGTAATAATTCCATTATATATATATATATATATATATATAATACATACATACATTTATACATATGCATGCATACACATATATGTATACATACATATATATACACATATACATACATACATAAATGTTATATACCACATCTTATTATATATTCATCGGTCGACGGATATTTGGGTACTTTTCATAATTTGGCTATTGTCAGTAGTGCTGCATTAAACATTGGGGTGCACATTCCTCTTCGAGTCAGCATTTTTGTATCCTTTGGAAAAATTCCTAATAGTGCAATTGCTGGGTCATAAGATAGTTCTGTTGTTAATTTTTTGAGGAACCTCCATACTGTTTTCCTGAGTGGCTACATCAGTTTGCATTCCCACCAGCAGTGCAGAAGGGTTCTCCCTTTCCTGCATCCTCATCAACATCTGTTGTTTCCTGAATTATTCATTTTAGCCATTTTGACAGGTGCGAGGTGGTATCTCATTATGGTTTTGATTTGTATTTCCCTGGTGATGAATGATGTTGAGCATCTTTTTATGTGTCTGTTATCCATCTGGACATCTTCTTTGGACAAGTGTCTGTTTATGTCCTCTGCCCATTTCTTCACTGGATTATTTGTTTTTTGGGTGTTGAGTTTGATACGTTCTTTATAGATCTTGGATACTAACCCTTTATCCGATATCTCATTTGCAAATATCTCCTCTTATTCTCTTAGTTGCCTTTTAGTTTTGCTTATTGTTTTCTTCACTGTGCAAAACCTTTTCATCTCAATGAAGTCCCAATAGTTCATTTTTTGCCTTTGTTTCCCTTGCCTCCAGAGATATGTCTAGTAAGAAGTTGCTGTGGCCAAGGTCAAAGAGGTTTCTTCTCTAGAAACTGTTTTCTTCTCTAGAATTTTGATGGTTTACTGTCTTACAAATAGGTCTTTCATCCATTTTGAATTTATTTTTGTGTATGGTGTAAGAAAGTGGTCCAGGTTCATTCTTCTGCATGTCGCTGTCCAGTTTTGCCAACACCATTTGCTTAAAAGACTGTCTTTTTTCCATTGGATATTCTTTCCTGCTTTGTTAAAGATTAGTTGGGCCTACATTTTTGGGTTCATTTCTGGATTATTTTTTTCTTTTCCATAGATCCATATCTATTTTTGTGCCAGTACCATATTATCTTGATGATTACAGCTTTGTAATACAGCCTAAAGTCTGGAATTGTGACGCTTTCATTGATGTTCTTTTTCAAAATTACATTTGCTATTTGGGGTCTTTTCTGGTTCCATACAAATTTTAGAATTGTTCTAGCTCTGTGAAGAATGCTCATGTTCTTTTGATAAAGGGTTGCAGTGAATGTGTAGATTGCTTTGGGTAATATTGACATTTTAACAATATTTGTTTTTCCAAATCAAGAGCATGGAATGTTTTTCCGTTTCTTTGTGTCTTCTTCTGTTTTTTTCATAAGTGTTTTATAGTTTTCAGTATACAGATATTTTAGCTGGGTATTTTTAATAAGAGCTACTATAAGTTTGGTATATATAAAAATGCTTAATTTTACAGTCATTACTAAAAACAGTGAAATTGGCAATTATATTTGTCAAGCAATTTTAGCTAAGACTGTTCATCAGATAAATATGGAAACGTATCATATTTACTTTAGGTGTGCTACTGAAAAAAATTGTTTCATTGACCTAAATTATGAATTTTTTTGGTTTGCACACCAGTTAATATTCTTTAATTATTTGGCCAACTCTTTACCATACTCATGACTTTCTGGCAAGCTTTTTCATTCCTCATTTTCAAGTCTAGGTAAAAATTGACAACATGGAAAATATATTACCCATGTACAAAATGCCTCTCAGTATTATGTGCATATATAATATGTACCTAGATTACACATCCACACATGCATATATATATATACACACACACACACACACACACACACATACATATATATATACACACACATATATATACATACACATACATCTATATCTGCATAGGTACCAAAAATAAGTAGAAAATAATAATAATGTGAATTGCATTCTATATTTTTTTGTAGGCTATTATTTTGTTCTCAGTATAACTGTTCTGGATAACAGTATGAAAAATGGCTTTATTACATTTAAATTATTAAACCAGGTTGGAATAGTTGAAGAATCAAAGATTTATGAGTAAGTATCATTTAGTAATTTTTTTTCATAAATTAAATGTTTATTTTCTTGAGCATCTACTTTGGAATATAATACAGATAAGTGTAAATTTTCTTTCCAGCGAGTCTTAAAATGTTAAATATTAAAAGATCTCAGGTGTTATATTTGAATTCATTCATTGTCTGGAGAAAGATGTAGAATATGAAGTCAACTACTTAACTTGTTTCTGTGATACACACCTAGGGACTACAAACATTAGGGAGTACTTTTTTTTTCGTCTTTTGACTCTCATTCCACTATTCTTCTTCTCAAACTACCTTGCCTTCTACTTATGTCTAGTTTTCAGGCAACATTGTATTCACAGTGATATGAATAAATCTGTCAGTAGAGCAACCCAATTTATTATTTCAGAGAAACACTAGCAGCCACAAATCCTACAATAATAGAAGAGGGTTTTGTTTTTACTTAATCTTCTATTTAGCTTTTTGTGTATATATATGTATGTGTGTATATGTATATATACATATTTTTAAAGTTATCTAAGCATCTCAAAGAATGTTCTCAGCTTGAATTTGTTGAAGGTATACCTGTCTATTTCATAAATTCTCAAACAAGGAAATTCATTTTCTGTTAAAAATGATATGAAGATGCAGGCACTATTAAAATTGTGATTTCCATGGGGTGCCTGGGTGGCTCAGTTGGTTAAGCATCTGACTTCGACTCAGGTCATGATCTCATGTTTTGTGAATTCGAGCCCCATGTCAGGCTCTGTGCTGACAGCTCAGAGCCTAGAGCCTGCTTCAGGTTCTGTCTCCCTCTCTCTCTGCCCCTCCTCTGCTTGCACTCTTTCTCTATCAAAAAATAAAAAAAAAAAAAAAACATTAAAAAAAGTTTTAAATTGTGGTTTCCAACCTGTTGTACTAGACTTCTAGAAATCTCTTAACTAATGTAACTTTTTGAAAGGCTCATAGGTACCATATCTAGTGATGCAATAGAAGAAATACTTTATTTTATTGTGCCTGGATTACACAATTATTACAACAGTTTGGTTTAAGTTTAGACTGACTACTGATGACATCATTAGAATTTCAGGAAGCACTGTTAGAATATCCAGTGTTTACTGTTGTCACATTCTAAGTAGTTACGATACCTGAATTGACTAAATTTAGTGTGTGATGAGCTTCAGACTTGAGTACATCATGACATCCAAACTTACTCAACCTTTAAAGTGAACAAGGGAAAATTCTCTGCATGCATATATATTTGCACATTAGCATTGCAAACGATGGCAGTGATGTATATAATTTTACAGTATTATTATGATCCTTTGTTGAAAATCTAAAATAACAGAAAAATATACGAAGTAGCCATAGCTCATAATAAACGAGGTTTGTTTTGTAAATAAATCTTTAAAACCTTAAAATACACAAAGAAAATAATAGTAAAAGAAGTATATTATGATCAAATATTGAAAACCTGTGTGCTGACATAACAAAGAGTATTTATAGTATCATGGGATACGAGGGGCGTTCTTGGAAATTACATTCCAAGTTGTAAGTCAGGGAAATTTTTTTAACTTTGAGATAAATGTATTTTTAATATTATATCCTTATGAATTTAATTTTCATAAAGTTATTAAAGGCATTTCAGATAATTCAGTAGTTGGATAAAACTGGTCCTGAGTGAGCATCAAAATTAATTTGCTTTCTTTTTTCCTTTTCTAACTTGCCTTCAGTCACCCAAAGACTATTAAATAAATCAAGCCAGGATTTCAATCCAAATTCTTCATTTACATCAAGGCCCATCTTTTAATAAGAGAAACTTCAAATTATTTCCACCATACTCCATCTGAGTACGATTGACTGGGTTATAATAATGAATAGTTATTTTATAATAGTTTATTGCTTTACGTTGCTTAAAATTGTGTATGTATGTGCCTGTATATGCATACACACACTATATGTATGATCCTTTATTTTTATAAAACATATACTTTCTTAGATTTTTGAATTCGCTTATTCAACAGTATTACTCAGCACCACTGAAACTTATTCAGGCATTTCATTAAATAATGGATACCCAAGCTAAAATAGTACTGTATTGTTCTTAAGGAAGTCACAGAACACTAGAGGAGACTAATGCGTAATTGCATCTCTGAGTAATTAAGTTCTATAGTAGCTTATTTGCTGTGGGTATATGAGGAGGATGCAAGGAAACATTTGAAGGGGAGATATTGCAGTCAAGGGATGAAGACAGTGCTTTCAAAGGCATGGAGATAGGAAAGTACCTGAGTTCAGTAACAGCCCACAGACTACAATCCTAGAGAAGTTGTTCCTAACTTGTTCAAAAGGCAAAGAAATTGTCATTCTTCATTTCTTTTATAAACATCATTGTGTATGCAGAACACCATGAAATATTGATGTATTTTATTCATGTTCTTGAATTAGTGCATTTTTAATGAAGGAACATAAACATAGATGATATATTCATGACAAATCTACAAATCTGTCCATCTAAGCCTGGCCAAGGGCTTTACTGTTTTTGTTAATAATTCTTTGCTAATGACTTTAGTCATGCTTTGAGATTTAAACTGTTTCAGAAACCAGGGAAGTTAGAGACTTTTAAATGACTTTTTGCTTCCCTCTTCAAAACTGAATAGGAAGATTTGCTCACTGTAGAAAATGTATCATATTATACAGTTGAAAATGAAAATCACATATAATTATATCATCCAGGGATGTTCACATTTACTATGTGGTCTACAACTGTGTCTCCTCTTCATTTACCTCCTCTTTTTCCTCTTCTTCCTTCTTGTGTATACCCATGTGCACACACACATTATTTTCTTGACTTAGCAAAATTAGGATCTTACCGCAAATGTGTTCTGTATCCTGATTTTTATACTGAGTGCTACAGTGTAATCATTTTTTGATATTGCTGTTACTCATTATAATATGATGCCAGATATAATAATATATACATATAGGATTTTAAACAAAAGATATCAATTTTGGATATTCTGGTTAGAAGTTTCCCCCCAGAGGTTGAGTAATGGAGAGATCACAAGTCCAAAGAGGTGGCTGTCGTAATAATTTACATGAGAGATGATGGAGGTCTAGACTCAATACGTGGAAATATTTCTTATTTTTTTAAGGACTTAGAATAGATACTTTTATGATTAATTAAATATGTGAAAGTTTAGTAAAGAAACCAGTTTCAAGGCAACTATTTAAATTATGATGCTGTTTACTGAGCTAGGAAGTCATGGAGAGGAGCCAATTTAATCATTCAATATAATTTCTTGAAAGCTTCTATAGGCCAATAACTATACTAGAAAGTAGGGATACAATTCTGGGCAAATTAGCTTGCTGTCTTTACATAACTTATGTCGAGTGCAGCAGATAGACTTTAAACATACATAATACAAATAAAATGATGATGTTCATCATTCTTCTCTTCAAAGAGAGGAATTTACATTGAGCTAGGAACTGTGCTAAGTGCTGAGGATACTGTGATGAGAAAAATAGACATGGTCCTACCCTCATTAAGCTTAATGCCCTAATAAAAGATATAACAGTAATCAAAACTAAATAAAACTGTGTAAATAAAATCTAAAAAATGTCTTGAGACAAATTATTGTGTGCATGGAAACATAAAATGATGGATGTGAATTAGAGAGGTCACTAAAAGTTTCTCTGAGGAGATTTTATATTAGTTGAAACCTAAATGATGGGCAAGATTGATTAGCTTTGCTATATTCCAGGCCACAGTACCAGCGAATGCACAGATCCTGAAGCAAGAGAGAACATAGCCCATTTCAGGATCTGAAGGAATTTTCTAAGGTCTTAAAATGGAAGCAGGACAAGCAAGAGAGATATGAGAGAAGTAGGAAGCCCTTGGATTTTATAAAAACTAGAACTTGTAGGGCATGTTCTGGGATTTAAATTTTACTCATTGGGCAAATGAAAATCACTAAAGTGTTTTAATTGGGGCAGTTTGTTTGGAGCCGTGTTGGATCTTTATTTTGGAAAAACAATTTGACCACATTGGTTTGACTAGTAAAAAGACGGGATGCTGTTGCAAGAATATAGGCAAGGAACAATGGTGTCCTGAGTGCTTGCTGTGGAAATGGATGGATCCAAAGCAGATCCAGGATATTTCAGAGGGATAGTCTGTAGGAATTTATGATACATTGGATATAGGGGTTGAAAGAAGGGGTGATATCAAGGGTGAATCCTAATTAGCTTGGATGGTGCCATTTAAAATAATAAGGAAATTTGTAAGTTGTAGTGTTTTGTTGTTGCTGTGGTTGTTGTTCTGGTGAGAGATGGGTGTTAGGAAATATGTCATTTAGATTTGAACCTACTGAGTTTTAGACATGGTGAAAAGCAATAGATCTCAGCAAACAGAGCTCAAATAGAGGCAGGGATTGGTGTTCACAAATAGTTGGTATTGGAAATCACTGAAGTGGATGTGAAATTGTAGACAGAGATAGCACAGTCCCATCTGGACATAATGACTCTGAAGTATCTCTGAGAAATCCAGATAAGGTCTTGGACAGAAATCAGAGATATGAACAATGACATTATATTCCATGAAAGAGGAGGTAAAACCATTTCCTGGCGGGGAGCAGAGATGGCCTTTGAAGAGAGTAATGACATCCTTTTTGGGGCCCAGATGTTTGAAGAATCAAAAGGAGGAAAGAGCAGGGATAAATATAAGACGGCACAAGAGCTGGACACACCACTGGTTGCTCCTCAGCTGCTTTACGTGATTGTCGCCTCTGCTCAAGCAAATCATTGTTGCCTTGAAGGAGCAAATTAATGCAACAGAGGTTTAAAATTCTTTCTTTCTCTCTCACCTTTTTTCTTTTCTTCTCTTCCTTCCTACTTTCCTCTTCCCGCTCACCCACTTTCCTTCTCCTCTCCCTCCCTTTCTCTCCTCCTCTTACTTATGCTGCTCCTCCTCCTCCTTTTTCACCTACTTTGGATTCCCCTTTGTAGTCAAGCAGATCCATATTGACCTGACTCCAGGACCCCTATGTTTCTAGGACACAGGGGTGAGGAATTGAGTAGAGTGATGAAGAAGAGCATTGACATGGCTGTGTATTTTCATTTCAGCTTTGCATTCTCTAGCTTTGGAAAGGCATTTGTATGCTCTGATATTCAGTTTTCCCATCTGTAAACAGCAATACTAATAGTACCTACTAAAGGAAGTTGTCAAGATAGTTAAATAAGGTCAAGCATGTCAAGCTTTATTATGGTTCTAGGTACACTATAAATGCTCAGAAAATTGTACTTATTAAATTCTACCTTTATTTTCTTTCCTTTTGAAAACTGTGGCTTTTGTAATAACTCACAAATATTTGACAAAATGGCGCAGAGCAATTAAGAATTATTATTAGAGTATCCTGTCAGCGAACTGTAATAGCTGTGCAGGTGTCTAAAACAAGAAGCATAAAATGACTTCTGTAATTTTAGACAAATGTACAATCTAGACACCAAGTCAGAAAGATAAGATGTCCCATTTTTTCTCAAAAGGTATCCCCAAATAATTTTGTATGGGGATGCAAGCATTATTATTTTATTTTGTTTTAATTTATTTTAATAAATACTTTTATAAATATTGTTTGGCTTTTTACCTTTAAGATTGTTCTTTCTATACTACTTCAAGATTATATTGACTTTAGAGTTAAATTATATTTTAAATTACTAATATGCTAAGCATGTTAAATTTTCTGTTTAGGAAGAACAGATCATTTTATCATCTTAAAGAAGTCAAGATTCTTGCTCAATTTTCAAATGATGTTAGAAGTATTTCAGGCATTGGTCTGGGATATTTTCAGAACTCAAATCAGCAATGTTCCCAATGCAGTTACAACATCCATCGTGTTATGGTACAATCAATTACCTATCAAGAAAGGTAAGGAAACTAAAGTTTGATTTTAGCATATTATCTTTTAAACTTAAAAATATCAGCATGCTAAGAAATGGCTTAAGAATTGATATATTCAGATGCCTGTTTATTATATTTTACACAAATATTAGAATATCTAAAAGGTTCAAAACACTTTTTTAATGAAAATTAGTTTGAATGAAGTTTAGTGTGCAATCACATTACCTAGACAAAGAAAAAACACAATTATTTCATTAGACACAAGAAAAATGAAAAAAGTGAGACAAATATCTGCCTTAGAAGTTGATCAATAATTTCTTACATATACATATATGTTTACAGACTGATTGATATTCCTTTTATACAATTCTTTGGATGGAGTTCAATGGCTGAAAACTATCATGAGGCATATGGTCATAGAAGATAGAAGTCATCAGAACTTTCAATATTTTTTTCTCTTAACTTTATTTGGGAAGAGGAAACAAACAGTCCATTGTTTATATTATATTTCAGAGACTAGATATCACTGGAGATTCAACCCTAGGAATATATTGACATCAGTGGAGCACTAGCATATATACAATAACAGCAGGAGGAAAATCTGGTTCCTTTGTGTCCTGGTTTCTCTGTTATGTCACAAATATCTCCATTATACAAAAATGTGATACTATCATGGCTTGATGGGGATTTTTGAAGATGATAGATTCTATCAGTATTTTTTTTGTCCATCTTATATGCTTTTCTTAGTTACATGTTCTCACAACTGAGGAGGTTTTCCTACCACGCTTGTCCTCATGATATTGATATACATGTTCACCCTGGCAGAATTCATATTCCCACAGAAATACCTCTGTGAAAGCATTAAGAACCACTAAGACCTCTTTAATTGTTGATCATCTGTCCATTTTGATATGTGAGATATGAGTTGTTCCCACTGTGAGTGTCAACTGAGAGTCAATAGCAATGAGTTTGTGGAATTGCTAGAAATCACTCTTCTTTAGTTGACTATAGATCTTTCTTTTTATTTCTCTTTACTTTTCTGTATTTGTATATTTGATTCTCCAGTTAGCTTTATATGAATATTGAACACAGTAAATAAGAAGTTTTGGAGAATAAAAATAATAAATGATAAGAATATGCATTTAGACGAGGTCTATATTAACAGAGGAAAACTGGAAAGATTGTTTAAAGTGTAAATTATTTTGTAACTTTTGGTATGAAAATATTTAGCCACTCAAAAGTCAGTAATTAAAATATAGTGGGAAAAATCTAGGGGTAATTTTACTGTTCTTTGCCTTTGGTTGAAATACATACAAAAATACCAAAATATATGGAAAATTTCAGCTAGAAATATTAGCAATATTATTCCCTAACAAAGTATACCAGACAGACAGACAGATGCGCACACACACACACACACACACACACACACAAGCACACATACTTTAAGGGGTCATGTTTGAAGGACTCAAGGTCAAGATTTGTAATCTTCAACTGATCTCTTTATTTATTATCTTAAACATGCAAACCTTCTGGTAAACATAAGAATGCAGACTTTACTTGTAATTCCCAAAAGCTAGGCTTTAAAGGGGCCAAACTTGTTGCACCACCATAGCCTCCTAATTTCCCCCATTAATACTTCTCTGAGCGTAATGAAGGTGAGTATGAACAGAGAAGTTTAGAGGTTGTAGTTTTATACCTTCTGTTTCTGCTACTTAAGTGTAAAGAATTCATATTGTCCTTGAATAAAGTCTTTTCCCAATATATCACAACTGGAAAGAGAAAGAAAGAGTTTTATCTTCAATATAGAAGTATAGAATATAAGCCTTGGCCAGACACCAGTTATTAGCTAGAACCTTTATACATAAAATATCACAGAAGCTCAAGATGAGAAAGAGAAATTTAGTTCCATACACGTGGATAGTAACAGGAACTAAGAATAACCTACCCTTTGTTTATATAGGCAAATGATAGGACTGTATACTACTCTTATCATTTAAGCAAAAGTGAACAGGAAAAACACAAAAAACAATAACAACAGTGACAACAACAAAATGCTGTGCATTTCATCATGAGCAACATAGAAAAAAAGATGTAACAATCAAGATTTAGAAATAAGGCTAAACCTTTGAAAGATTTATTATTGGAAATAGATGGAAATTGTACAAATCATTGCTTGATGTTCTTAATATTTAAAAAACAGTAATTCATGAAAGAACAAGTGAAGAGCACTTGTTTATGATTGTAAAACAGCTGACTGTGATGCCAAATGAGCTCACAGTTAAAGACAATATCAAGTTTAGTATCAACATTAAATATGAGAAAAAAATAGAATTGATCAATAATGTAAAAACTCATAATAATTTATAGACTAGGGTGATATAAATAATATAAAAGATTGAGGAACAATTGTTGGGGAAAAATAATTGAAATGCAAAATGTAGCTATATGGTGTTGCTGAAGAGGAGACACAACAGAACTAAATGCAGATGTGATACAAGAAAACTGTCCTCAGAAGAAGATATAGATCTCAAATTGATAGAATAAACTAAGGACTCGAAACTAAAGGAGATCAACCTTTAGACTCACTCTTATATATCAGTCAGTTAAGCGTATGCCTCTTGATTTTGGCTCAGGTCATAATCTCATGGTTTGTGAGATCGAGCCCTTCATCAGGCTCTGAACTGAGAGCATGGAGCCTGCTTGGGATTCTCTTTCTCTCTCTCTCTCTCTCTCTCCCCCCCCCCCTCTCTCTCTCATTCTCAGTTTCTCTCTTTCTCTCTCTCCCCCCATTTCTCTCCCCTACTCTCTCTGCCGATTCCCTGCTTGAGTGCTTTCTCTCTCTCTCAAAATAAATAAATATACTTTTTTAAAAAAGATAGAATTTTCTATATATACAAAGAAATCTTTATAGAGTGGAAGATTAAATGTTGCAGCAACTGAAGTGTCCATCAGTAGTTATTTAGTATTGCATTTAGTTATTTAGTATTGAATGGCTTCAAGATTCTTTTGAAAGTATTATGCATGGAACTTAAATTTAATGAGAGTATTTGGTTAGGAAAAGCCAACACAGCTGTCTTCAACTTAAAGAGTAATCTTAGGAAACCTATTTACAGTTATATTATTTGTGCTAAAGTCTTCAACCTCCCATTTCTGTATTTTAAACTGTCTGGCTAAAGGCTGACGAGTACAGTACTTTGGGAGAATATGAGGCTGGAACTCTAGAACTCTGAAGGGTGTTTACAGATAGCAATTTTGACATAACTCATTTTACATTTTTTCAAAATCTGTTCATCCCTCTTGAAACCTGTCCTCCATCTTCAACATCCACACTGCAATTTTTCCTATGTCCTCAAATGATGCTCTCTAAGTCACTATAATTTTGAGAGGTGATATAGGTCAGGAACTCCAAACAGTGTCACCCATGTGAGTAGTGCATGTGTGTTTCTATATGTAATGTAAGCTACACCTCTGAGAGTGTATTAATTTTACGCCCATATAAAAATTAAGTAGTTTTAGGATGACTGGCAATGAACTTTTTCTTTTCTTTTCTTCTTTGCTGTTCTTTTCTTTGAGAAAGAGCAAGAGAGTGGGGAAGAGGGGTAAAGGAAGAGAGAGAGAGAGAGAGAAAGGGAGAGAATCTTAAAGACTCCATGTTCAGCTCAGAGCCCTACTTGGGACTCAATCCCACAACCCTGGGATCATGACCTGAGCCAAAATCAAGAGTTGGATTCTCAACCTACTTAGCCGCCCAGGTATCCAAGCTTTCATAGTGTTTACTATTAGAGTCATTATTGAACAAAAAGGTTATTATGCCTAAATATTTTTAGATATTCAGTGTTTTAATTATAATATTAAGGGACAAGATAGTTTTATTCATATTCTCCTAAAATTGTTTTAGATTAAAATTCTCTTGCAGTTATATAAGGATTTTTTAAATATTTGATAATTGAAATAAGTGGTTCTCTTTAATTTGCTTAGAAGTTATGGTGACATACTTCTAATTTGCAATTGTACCTTATATAAATAAATATATAACAAATACATTTTTCAGTCAATCCTTATTGTTCATATAACAGTTGCTCTTTTTTTGTATATTTGTCTTGTAAGTTAGTTTGCTCTAAATATTTTCAGTGGCAGAAAATACATAAAGTATATATTTGGATGATAGTAGATGCTCAATTAAAGCAATCCCTTTTTTCTCATTTTTCTTTTCTTGTTAGTCCCTAATTTAACTTTTCTTCTACCTCATTTAATCTATAAATACACAGCTGAGCCAACAAAATGACCAACCCAATAATGATACAAAACAGATCTGTCTGTCTTGCTAAAGCAACTCATCTTTAAAATGCCTCATTCCCAAAATTTTCATGAAACTGTAAGTCTCATTCTCCATAAATACATCTTCCTACCTTTTTGTAAAACTTTCCTTTTTTAGTACTTTTGAAACTTCTTACCCAAACTTTGTATTCGCTGTACCATACTATCCACTCCAGTAATGCTGTGATCAGAATCCTCACCCAATTGAGTTGTTGGGGACACATGAAGACTCTGAGACAACTGATTAAGAACTTTAGAAATGAAAATTCACACTGATTGCAATTTCATCTCATAAAGTGGAATTTATCATCTGAATTATTTGTCCTAAACATAATTTAACCTTCTTTTTTAGGGAACTAGCACACAAGGAAGGGATTTTTTAGGTGTATGTTTTGTTCGATGCTTACAATTTAAGGGAAAATTATTAGGTATCAAGGAAAGATGACTCCTTTGATGATGTAGGCATGAAAGAGATATCCTAAAGTTTTCTTTTTCTATTAGTAAGCTTCTTTCAAGATGGATAATAGTGGTTAAGTTTGTTTTGATCTACTACATCTTAGACACTATCTTTGCAATCTTTGAAACACCTTTCTGAGGTAAGTATTTTCTTTATATTATTAGTAAGAGAACAGAAACTCAAGGGTTTTGTAACATGTCTAAGGTGTCTCAGCTGAGAAGTACCTTTGCAATGATTTGAACCCTAACTT